CCCTTCGTGCCTTAAACAGCCTCTCCCCGACGATGGCGTCCCCAGACTGCTCCTCGACATTGGTCTCTACTGCAGGATGTGGGTTCTGGTTGTTTGGTTTTGGGAATTAGGTTCTGGTTCATCATCATCGGTATGCAGGTTCTGGGTCAGGGTTTAGAACTTCGTTCAGGACTTCGATCTCGTCGTCTCAGTCTCTCATTCTCCGTCTGAATTCGATCTCGACTCTGAAATCCACCAGGCTCCTCCCTGCCTTCTCTCCATCTAACCTATACGGCCTGGACCAGGTCCCATGGCACAAGGATCATCGCTGGGACAGGAACATGAACTTTCCTCAGTTTTTGGAAATTTCTTCTTACTTTGGATCTCTGCCGAGGGATGAGTGGGCTGTGCTATGTGCCTGTGCTCAGTAGCGGTGCTCTGTGGCTGTGCTCGATCAGTGGCGGTGCTCGGTGGCAGTGCAACGGATGCGCAATGGCTGTGCTCAGTAGCAATGCAACGGGTGTGCGGCGGCTGTGTTCGGTGGTTGGGCTCAGTGGCTATGCTCTGGGTTCTAGCTGGATCCGACGTCAAAATCACCTCCACCTCCTCCGTCTCTTGCCTCGCAGCTGCCAACAACTTCAAAGACCGCTGTCAAACGACTAGCCGGCCGAGAAGCGCTTCCTCAAACTCCAACTCTTCGTCCGCTCCCTGCAAGTTCCTCTACCCATCACCCAAATTTATAAAAAAAAAAAAAAAAAAAAAAAAAAAAAAGGTGGTGGTGCATCTGGCACCACGTGAAAAAAGGGAATGGTGCATGGGCACCAACTAAAGAAACAGAAAATAATACAAAAAATAAAAAAAAAGGGTTTCATGGTGCGTCTGGCACCGTGTGCAGAAAAAGAAAAAAAATATATATATATATATATATTTATTTAAAAAAAAAAAAAAAAAAAAAAAAAAAAGAAGGAGAAAAGAAAAGAAAATGAAGTTATGATAATATGGTGTGTATGTACATAATATATGTATGTATATAGCAACAAAAAAAAAAAAAAATGCATCGAGAGAAATAAAGTCCATTTTATTTATTTATTTTCTGGAAATTTTACACAAATTTGCATTATGCATACCTTAAAAAAAAAAAAAAAAAAAAAAAAAATCAAATCAAATTTACAACAGGGGATATTCAAGGACGATCAGGTGGCGCCTCACAACTCGGCAGAGCTCCAGGAAGAGAAGGCGTCAGAGGTTGGCTGTTTGAAGCCTCAGCAGTCGGTACAGCCCCAGAAGACGAAGGTAAATGCTGCTGGAACAAACCCACAAACCTCCGATGATCAAGTAAAATCTGACCATCAGATTCCTGCATCTGGTCAATTTTCCTCTTCATGTTTGTGGCATAGTTATGTGCAAGCTTGTGCAACTGTTTATTCTCATGCTTGAGCCCTCTAATCTCCTGTTTGAGACTCATCACTTCAGCCGCCAACGATTCAACTTGACGGGTTCGAGCAAATTGGCACGCACTGCACACTAAGAGCCAGGGACTCCTTAACAACCAACTCATCAGACCGCCTGGAAAGTAGTCTGTTATCTTTGGGAGTGACAAGGTTCCGGGCCACCACCGCAGCGGTCATATCATTCTTCATCACCGAATCCCCAACAGTAAGAGGACCAGTAGGGGATATGAAGGATGGGCGCCATATGTTATCTGGAGAAGACGGGACTACCTCTTCACCAAGGTTCAAATCAAAACGACGGTCGGAGGGTCCAGACATTTTCAAAGTGTTGAAGGAAGAAGAGATCGGACAAATCAAGACTTTAGAAGTGCAAGAAGGGAGTTTCTACAAGCGAAAATTCAAGTGTGCTTTGAAACGAACTGCGTGCCTCTATATATAAAAAAATTAACACTCGACGGGATTTCAGAGATCGAAGAGGTGAGCTCAGAGTTCGAAAATGCCGATTCAAAAATCGAAGCGCCGATCCCAGATATCGAAGAGACACCAGTCTTTTCCAGACGCGTCGGCACCCATCACACGCAAACTCAGCTTTGCGGAAATCACGGGTAATTTGTCGAAGCGCCGATCCCAGATATCGAAGAGGCGCCAATCTTTTTCAGCCGCGTCATCACCTGTCATATGCACACTCAACTTTGCGTAAATTACGGGCAATTTGTCGAAGATTTTCGATGAAGGAGAAAGCACGTGAAAGTTTACTGTTCAATCACGCGTTAGTTGCCGACACAAGTGAAAGAATAGTACCTCTACAGGTATTAAGGGACCTCCTATAACTGTCCACCTTCACCTTCCATAGCAAGGCAGACATACAGAACCTTTCTTCATCTCCGAGAATGCCTTCCCAATGAAGCATCTCGAGTCCCTTAGTGTTCCTTATTCCTTGGGGTACCTCTGTAAGCCAATAACTTCAAAGCAAAAGTATCTCATATCACCAGGGTAGAAAGCAAGAGTATCTCATATCATGCGTTCTCCCTGTCGTTTCCTTTGTCCTTGCTCCTACCTACAAAGACAAGGATAAAGAAAACAATATGCCGGAACTTCCACTCAAACTCGGGTAAGGAACCGACTGCTTGGAACCCTTCCTTGATTGCCTACCTAGCACTGCTCTCGAGTACTCGTCTCCCACTGCCGTTGTACTTCCAAAGAAGCTGCCACATCTGCCTGGAGAACAGATAAGGCAAGTGAAAATGATACCTTGCAGCATGTGGAGACAAGGTGCAGAAGGAACAAGCAGAGAAGAATGCAGTCTGCACAGTCAACTCAGCAGAAGGAGTCCGAGCTGAAGAACTCGAGAAGCTGCCATATCTGCCTGAAGAAACAAGCAGAGAAGAATGCAGCATGCTCAGTCAACTCGGCAAAAAGAGTCTGAGATGAAGAACTCGAGAAGATGCCACATCTGCCTGAGGAACAGATAAAGGAAATGAAGATGATACCTTGAAGCATGTGGAGACAAGTGCAACCAAGCACGTGCTGAGTCATCCGCTACTTCTTCAAAAGCAAGAGTATCTCATATCATCAAAGTTGCAATCACTCTGACGGTAAATTCGTTTTGACCCTCAAATTCTTGGGTCGACTTACTAGGCGTTGTAGGCTGCACGTGCCGATTCACCACCCTTGAATCAAATCCTTAAAGATCAAGTCACCAACTGGAAGAAAAGCCCATCAATCTTGAAGATCATACCGTTGACCAAACTGCTCAGGTGTGAATTAGAAAGATTGAACAGAGCAATAAGTCGTCACCTTCACCTCGTGCCTGCTTGTCATGTGTTCAAGTCAACCTTCAAGGATCAAGCCCTAACGACCCTTGAAGAAGTTTCCAACCAAATTCAAGATCAAGCCTCGACGGCCCTTGAGGAAATCACAAGTCCGATTCAAGATTAAATGTCTACCACCCTTGAATCAAAACCTAGTTCAAGAATAAGCTGTGGAAAATCAACAATTGGAGGAATCCAGAAAATCCTCCAACCCAGTTCAAGATCAAAGTTGTGGAAAGTCAACAAGCGCAACAAAATACGTGCCGATTCACCCACTACCAAAGCCAAAGATCATTCACCACATGAAGCTCCTTGTGGTCCAATTTCAACCTTCAAGATCAAGCCTCGACGGCCCTTGAAGAAATTTCAAACAAAAGTTCAAGAACAAGCCTCAAAAGCCCATTGAAGAAATCTCAAAGCCCAATTCAAGATCAAGCCTCAACGGCCCTTGAAGAAATCTCCAGCCCAATTCAAGATCAAGCCTCGACGGCCCTTGGATCGACATCTACAGTAAGGGACTTCAAAACGCATCTCCTACACGTGACAAGCACATGTATACGACGCGCCTTGAAGTGGGGGCATTTGTAGACATCGAAATTTCGGTAAATAAATGTTGACCGATAAATCAAAGTTTCAACGCTCATGTATTACATAAATTTTACACGTAGCGTGTGTCTAAACAAAAAATCAAAATAAGTTGGAAAAGTCATCAAACAGGACACGTGTCAACACCTAGCAGAAACGACTTATTTCATCTGGGATATTATATTCAAAGTTAGGCCTTGGAAAATTCTATAAATACAAGCCCATTTCATTCATTTACAAGGAACGAATTCATATTACACCTTGAAGCTCTGAAGCTCTGAAGCTCTGAAACTCCGAAGCTCTTAAGCATCTAGGTTCCCGAAGAATCAAGAAAGCCTTCTTCGTTCTTCGTTCATCGTTCTTCCAAGATCAAGCCCCGACGGCCTTTGGATCAACAATCATCCACCAATTCAAGATCAAGCCCCGACGGCCCTTGAAGAAAGTGTTCTTCGTTCCTCGTTCATAGTTCATCCAAGATCAAGCCCCAACGGCCATTTGGATCAACAATCATCCACCAAATCAAGATCAAGCCCCAACGGCCCTTTGGATCAACAACGTCGACAAATCCACACATCCAACCGTTTCTTCAAGATCAAGCCCAAAAGCCCTTGAAGATCCGTTCATCACTGTTCTTCAAGATCAAGCCCAAAAGCCCTTGGAGATCCGTTCATCACTGTTCTTCAAAGATCAAGCCCAAAAGCCCCTTTGAAGATCCGCTCAAATCCACCTTCAAGATCAAGTCCACGGCCCTTGAAGAACGTTCATCCTTAGATCAAGCCCAACGGCCCTTTGGATCAATCACACATCCACAAATACACACCTTACGGAGATCGAATCAGAGGATCAAAATAGAGAGAGATTGTAACCCAAAATCAAAAATACAAATATTTGTTTGTGCACGTCGTTTCTTGTCTCTTTCGTTTCAGGAATTTTCCGTGTTCACACCTATGTTTACAAAATGTCGATAAACTGTAAATTGATTTCAAGTAAAGGCTTATATTCTTTGATTTCATGGAGATCTTACTTGATCATCTTTGATTCAAGTAGTCCCTCCCTGAATTTTGATCTTTGTGACTCGAAACTGTTGGGTTTATTATTTTGAATTTATTTTCTTCTTATGCCTATATTTGGAAATTCCTCTTCTCAGCTTTTACTCTGTATCCACATTGTGCAGACTTTTTGGTGTGGCAGATGAGTTTTTCTGCCTTTCTCTTGGGGAGAACAAACACACTCAATCAGATTGTTGGCTGCATACTCGTAGCTACAGGTGTAGCAGCGGCTGTTTCAAGGTACCTTGATCCATTCTTCCACCGATTAAAGAGCTGCTACTGTGTTTGGTTGTCCGGTTCTTCTGTCAATTAAGCCGAAGAATATGTGATACAGATCTTTTAAGGTCATTATTAGTAGTCACTTAGATGTGGTGTACTTTAAACTCATGCCATGCCTACAAATGTTGATGGTTTGCATGCTTATGCATTGTGTTCCAGATAATAACAAAGCAAAGACCAGAAGAGTTGAATGGTCTTAACGATATACCAATTACATTTATCTGTCAATGTATCTGTCATTTGTATACATATGATATGCTTTGAGTGCTGGAGTTCGTGTTTGAATCTCGATATTTCATACTAGAATGCTACCGAAATGCAGGTTAAGCAGTTGAGCAATTGGCTTCTCTTGTCAAAGACAATCTTACTTGCAAGCATCTTATTCTCTTAGTGGAAGAGTCCTTGGTGGACTTCCTTCAGAGTTATACTAGGCATGTAAGACAAACTCCTAAGTGGTATTACCGTATTAGCATTGCCATTTCTTATGAGATTAATTTTAGAGTAAAATATTAAAATTATATGGAGCAGGAGTGATGCAAGTCTTTGTGGTATATCTAGGGTAAAACGAGAGCTGGGAACGACGTTGGACTTTGTATTTGGATTTGAATCTGCTGGGGCTGGGAATGAATTTGAATCTGTGCAAATCTGTGCAAATGTGAATGAGTGAATCTGCTGAGGCCTGGGAATGAATTTGAATCTGTGTAAATGTTACTTCTTTTTTTTTTTTTTTTTTTTTATGTATAATATATACATAACAAAAAAAAAAAAACCAAGAACCCATGGACCCGACCCGAACTGGCCTGTTTCAACCGGGCTGGGTTATGTTCGGTTTCTATATTAGAATCTGCTATCCCCGGCCCGTTTCCTTTGCATCCAGGTTTGGTCCGGTCCATCCAAAAATGGGTCCTGCCCGACCCGTGCCCACCCCTAGGTGCCACCAACTGCTGCCGAGTGAGTTGTCCTACAAGTAAAGAACAAATGTCAATTTGTCGAATAGAAAGTTGATTTAAACAGCCATGCAAATCCACATCTAACCCTCTCCAGCTATGTTTTGAGGATAATATTTTACTACCGATCACCTCAGTCTCCCCAAAACTTTAAGCTTTAATTCCAGGCATTGCAGTTCAATTGTGATCACACTCTACCGCGATAACTTTATATGGTCTTGCACTTGTATGATGGCTTATGTGGTTGCACGTATAAATTTGTTGCGTCTATCATATTTTTGTGACAGATTTGTATTGGTGACATTTTGTAAGGTAGGGTAGGGGTTTTACTATAGTTTGTGTCATTGTACAAATTTATTCCAGATCAATTTCTTACTTGAGCTGATGTACCCGATTGATAATCTCTGTAATTGTTTTTGAAGTTCAATGAAATACCACTATTGTTTCTTGTAAAAAAAAGTTGGTTATCCCACAGAAGAGAAAAAAAGAAGAAAAAAAGCCACAAAGTTTGCCTTAAAAAAGTCTTACTACCATGGACAATTCGGGCTAGTGTAGCACCGGAATAATTTAGACGCTGTATCCATTAAATATGACTAAGAGCAGGGTCAGCATGATCGAGGGAACAGTAACAAACTCTATCGGCCATACAAAAAAGTATCTATTACAACATAACGAGAAAAACTCTTGTTTAGCAAACCAATACAAATGTAGGTAAACCATCAAAATTTTAAGATTGGAAGCTACAGTCTCACTATTGCCATATAACATCAAGAACAAAAAATACATGATAGAGTAAGGGGTGTGATATCCATACACCCATTTTTACTTCTCCCACACCTTTTTAGTTTTCGGCCGTCGGATCGGATGAATTGAAGAAGATCAACGGACAGAAATTAACAAGGGGTGTGTGAGAAGTAAAAAGGGGTGTGTGGATAGCACATCCCTAGAGTAAAACGTAATGAGAATAAAAAAAATAACAAAGTCAACGAAATCCTCCTCTTCTCCTCCCTCTACATATCAAGAATAAAAATTCTAAGAAATGAAATAGCATGTGTGCAATTGTTAGTTTTTGATTAAGCAAATTGCATGGCCCATGACATGATTTGCTTTTGTCGAGAGCCATATGATTTAGACTACGATTTCACGCCATTGAATTGGCTGACCAAGATCGATATTTCAAACTCTTGTGTTAGAACATAAAAGTGTATATAATCGTACAAAGTGGATAATGTAAAGTTCATTTATATTCGTTATGACAAATAATTATCTACACTAAGGAGAGATGATGAGTTTAACTTCATAACGAGCTAGCAATAATGTGTTTAAATTCTTCTTTGATGACTATCGAACCTAATACTTGTCATTTACAAATAAAAAAGAATACTACTAAACTGCAGTATTAAGTGGCATGTAAAATTTGTATTCGGTTTATCTATATTTATCCATATTTCCGCTCATGACACGAAGTCATACAGGGTATTGGTTCCTCTATTGTGAGAATGAAGGCTAAGGCCCAAAATTAACACCTACAACATAACGGACAATCAACAAGGGCAGGCCCATGTGTAGCCTTATAGGTCGATATGTTGGTCTTGTTGGGTGGGCCGAAACCATGAAGATCTTTCGCGTTTGGATGTCGTTTCACGCGAAACAAGAAATAAAGTGGAGGAAGACTTTTGTTTTTGTTGACTGAAGGAGATTTGACTTGTTTAAGGTAGGGGTGGACACGGTTTGGTTCGGTACGGTTTTGAGTGAAACCGAAACCGAAACCGATTTTTTTTACGGTTTGGTTCGGTGCGGTTTTGAAGCCAAAACCGAAATGAAACCAAACCGTTTGGTTTGGTTCGGTGCGGTTTCAAACGGTTTCGGTTTGGTTTTTAAGAAAAAATGTACAAGTTGCAATTTAACATATTAATAAGTATTTTTCAATAGCAATAGGAAAAAGACATTTGTTATGTAAACAATTAGCATGTTGTATGCAGTTGTGATGTTAAAACATGTTAAAACAATGTTTATCATAAAACAAGTTGAATAAATTTGAATTCATTAAACATGAGCAAAACTTTGATACTAGAATATGTGATATCATGCTTCAAATGAGTGGACTTCATTAGATCATTGTTCGACTTTTGATAACAAGATTAGTCCATCCTTTTACATATATGTGTGTGTGTGTGTGATGGTATAAAATAACAAAGGTCCTTCAAGTTAATGAACAAAAGAAGGTGATGAATGATGATATTCTAGTGTATTTGAGTCTCATACTAAGTGTATGGATTCTAACAAACAACCAATTAAAACATGAAATCTAATATAGACATTTAATTAAATGTTTATTAATATTTGCGGTGCGGTTCGGTTTCGGTGCGGTTTTCAAAAGCCAAAACCAAAACCAAACCGTTTTCTATTTTGCGGTTCGGTTTCAAAACCGAAACCGTTTCAAAACCACAAAACCAAACCGTTCGGTGCGGTTCGATTTGATTCGTGTTTCGGTTTCGGTTTTCGGTTCTAAGTGCCCACCCCTAGTTTAAGGTATATTTCAGCATCATTGGTTCTGCAACGCAACCACAATCACAAGCATTGCCATTTTCTCAATCGTGATCTGAACCACTGCAGTGTCATAACGGTGGATACCACCATGACAGCCCACAAAAAGCCTCCCTTTCATTCTCCTCCAAGTCAAAATTTTGGAATTACGACTTCTTGAGCTTCAAAGATGAAGACGCAAACAATTAACAAACAAACAATTTGTAAGAACATTATTTCGGGTGAGTGTATTTTTGATCATCACCCACTCAAGTGGTGGTGAAACCCACTAGTCTCAAGTGGTAGTGGACCACTGTACTTATTATTATTATTTGAGTTTAAATTTTGAAAAATTTATGTTTATTCATTAAACATATCTCAAAATTTAAACTTAACTAACAACGATAAATAAATGAAATAGTGAAGACCACTATCACTCGAATGTGATGAGCTAAAATATTCCCTTTGGTATTAATAATGTTTCTGCCTAGCGATTATTTAGATGTTTTTATTCAACCAGCAACCAAACTCTGTTGGAGCCATATGTTAAAATTATGAGATTGCACATGGAATCCCAATTATTACGCATGTTGTGGAATTCACGTTTTTTGTTAGGATAATTTTAAGGAGATTAAAATTTTAAATTAAAATTGCAAACTATATGAAGTGTCATCGATAGGAAATAAGCATGTTAATTAATGCTTCACATCATTTTGAAAAATTTGGTCTCTCTAATATTATTTATTAGGTTATATAACAGAGGACTAATACAACTCTCTCTTTGTTTCCCTTTCCTTCTTTCTTATTTCCTCTCTCCTTCCTTTTCTCCCTTTTCCGAGCAAACATCTCTCTACTCCCTCACGCACTCTCAGGCCAATTCTGGGATTTTTGAGGTGTCGGGCGACCCAAAAAAATGTGCCCTAACTTCATAGAAGAAAAATGATTTGTTTTCACACGTAAAACTTCGATAAAATTATACTTAGAAAAGTACTTCAAACTCAATAATTAAGAAAAAAAAATATTGTATTGAGAGAATGAAACAAAAAAACACTTCAGACTTACAAGTAGATAGATGATGAGTTTCATTTCCCTTCTATTGGAAAGAATAAAAAGCACATAGCATTTCAAACTCTAGACCTTTCATTACTATTAAACAATAACAATCATTGCTTCTAACCAAAAATCTTGATCATTTAATCAAATTTTATAAATTTATACTCTTTTGAAAAGAAATTCATAAAAACAGGAAAGTAAAAAAACACACATAGTGTTTTGAACTCAGAACATCTCGTTATTTTTAAATAACATAAACCACCGCTTCTAGTTAAACTTCTTGATCATTTAACCAAATTTTATAAATCTATACTCTTGTGAAAAGAATTCGTAAAATTTGGAAAGTTAATAAACACACATAAGACCATCTCCAAAGGAGATGTTAAAAATGTCACATAGACATATAACAATAACAAATGACATACCGTTTACTCCAACCGAGATGTCAAAGCTACATAAAAAATAAGGCTAAGTTGACATGGACAAAGAGATATCAAATTTGAAGCTGCCTTCAAATATGATTTTTGCTATTTCCAAAGGCATTCCACTTGCCTTACGTTAAATCTTGCATATTTAAGTATTATTTTTATTATTTTTAAACCAACAACAACCCAACTTTTATTATTTTTGTTATAAAAAAACATAAATAAAGTAATAAATTTTGGCATATCGGGTGGAAGAAAAATATCGACAATATGTTAAATTGCCAAGTCAGCAATCAAATTGAAATTTGATGTTTTGAATTTGACGTCTCATTTGGAGATGCTATAACGTTTTGAACCCGAGGCCTCCTTAATTTTAAAGAAGAGAAACCAATTGGTTTAGTTTAACTTCTTGGTCATTTAAACAAATTTTATAAATTTATACTCTTACGAAAACATATATGAATATATCACTCTAATAACTTTGGTGCCCCCAATTTTTTATGGCCCCGAACAATCACCCAGCTCGCATTGGGCCTAGGCCAGCTTGTGCCACTATCTCTCCACTCTCACTGTGCATACACGGTGCACATAGTTTACGTCCACCACCGCCCAAACCAAGGAGACCACCAGCTTTGTCTCGTCCTCACGAGCCCAGAACACCCAGCCTCGCCTCGAACTTCCTTCTCAATCGTCAGGATTGAAGCTCGTAAAGTCCACGACTTTCCGGCCAAACTTCGACTGGTTAACCGTTATGACATGTATCAATTTGTTCGTCTCGTTTCGAGGTATGATTTTCTTTCTTGGATCATTCAATTTGGTTGAGAAATGAGAAAGTTATGACGATTGAAAAAATGTGTAGAAAATCAGCCAAAACCCAGTGTTTCCAACGAGTTTTAGAAACTCCGGTGAGCTTCTAAACCATTGCAGTGCCATAACGGTGGATATCCCCTTGACAGCCCACGGAACCTTCTTTTCGTCCTCCTCCAAAATTATAGATTACAATTGATGAGAAAAATCTTAAAAAGATGCTAATCACAACTAATAAATTACGGCTTCACTTGTAAACTAAAAAAAATAGTTAACCACTTAAGGGGAGGATAAACGGGTTCTGTACCCGCGGGTCAGGACGGGTACCCGCAGATCGGGACGTGTACAAAATTTCAAAAGGGAAACTAACGAAAAATTTAAAAAAACTTCATTTTTAATGAAAAGTCATTTTTAAATGTATAGTGAATAGTACCAGAGAAATGTTATAAATATGATTTTTCATTAAAAATGAACGGTACCAAAATTATTTTGTTAAAACTCCCAATTTCAAAATACAAAACGGGGCGGGGACTCGAGCTCTAGTTAAGTCCTCGACAGTAGCCATCCATCGACAACCAACATCTCAGACTCCAGTTACTCCACAGCCTTCGACTTCGTCTTCGTCTCCCTCTTTCTGGCGAAATGTCAGTGGCGGTAACCATCAACAACCACCATCACCATCATCTCTCCGAATTGAGACCACCACGTTCATCTCATCTCCTTCCAAATTAAGGTAATGTAATTTCGGAACTCTAATTTTTAACTCTCTGGTTAATTTTTTGGATTTAGGGATTTATGGTTATCTGCAATCTCTGAATCTCTCTGATCAATTTTCAGATTTGAGAGTTAGGGTTTTCTACAATCTCTCAGTCTATTGACCAGTTCTTCATGCCCCAAACACAATCCATAAATTTTCCTTCGTAGAAATTGGGAATTTGGAATTTAGGGATTTAAATGTTCATACCGTACCTATTGGGCATTCCATAATGTTTGAAATTTGAATTGGGAATTTATGTATTGTTCAAACTTGCATACTTGTTGTATAGCATTGAATAGGAATTTATTTATTGTCCAAATCTACAAATGTACAACACCTTGCAACGATCTTCAACCTGTGCAATGTGCAATCTGCTTCGAATGGAAATTTATTTATTGTTCAGCAACTTGTGCAATGTGCAATCTCTGCTTTGAATCTACAACCTTGAAAGTAAGCTGAGTATTTTATTGATAGTGAAAACTATTTGTAAGACTATATTTGGAGACTCTGTTTACAAGGCTCAAAGTTTTGAATTTCCAAAAAGCTATATGGTTTCTCTTCCCAGTCCCTCCTCATGCTGTCTTATTGTTTGGCATCTCTTTGCAGATGTTTACATGAATCAATTGGTGATTAATCTCAGTCCATATCATGAATTCGTTTAAAGATCATAAACGTCAATCAGTAATTTTGGTTTTTTCTGGCCAACGATATATGTAAGGGTAGATGGCTGTAAATATACTTATATATAGCTATATATGGAAACGAAACTTTGTAATCAAGGAGGTTTCTTCTGCAAGAGTAATAAATTGTTAAAACTGCTTTTTTTATTCCCAAAAAAAAAAAAAAGGTCCATTGACCCGCTCCGAACCAGCCAAGTTCAAATTTCTTATACCGGCCCCCCGGTTACATTTTAAAACAGGTCCGGTCCGGTCTCTCCAAATTTAAACCCAGCCCGCCCGTGCCCAGCCCTAAACCACTTGCTAAGGAATCCAACCGTCTAATAAGATTATTAATTACATTAGTTAATTAGCTCCAATAAGATTTGGGGTCCTTACTTGCGCGCGCACACATATATATATATATATATATTTTTTTTAATTTGGGGTTTTACTTGCATATATAACCATATCATATTTTTATACATATTGTTAGTTAAATAGCTGTAATCACGGCCAAAGGACTCATTGTTATAATCTGTTAAAATAATGCATTATTGATAGTTGAAATTAAGAATATTCTGGATAGTCTTTTGTCTGTTCCCTTATTTCCTCTTTTCCTCTCTCTTTCTCCTTCACTGCACCTTCCCGGCTGGCACTATGTCGTTTCTGAAGTCCATATCCTAACATTGTTATATTATGTTTAAAACTTCTGTTTTTGGGGACTAAAGAAAGGTTGACTTGGCTTTGGTGCTTCAGTATCATCCGTTCGGCAACACAAACACAACCACTACGATTTATTCAGTCGTGATCTGAACCACTGCAGAGCCATAACGGTGGTTACCACCATGACAGCCCACGAAGCCTCATCTTCATCCTCCTCCAAGTCAAAACTTTGGAAGTACGACGTGTTCTTGAGCTTTAGCGGTGTAGACACGCGCAGTGGCTTCACAGGCCACCTCTACGCGGCATTAACAGACAGAGGATACCAGGCTTTTATCGATGAGGACGATCTAAATACAGGGGAAGAAATAGGAAATGCACTGTTCCGGGTAATGGAAGAGTCGAGGATCTTTGTTGTTGTCTTCTCAAAGAATTATGTGGATTCGAGTTGGTGTCTTGACGAGCTGGTGAAGATCATGGAGTGCAGATCCAATCTGGGGGGACATGTTTTGCCAATATTCTATTATGTTGATCCTTCCGATGTCAGGAATCAAAAGGGAGATTTAGCCCAAGCATTTCAGAAGCACGAAGAGGTCATCCGAGAAGAAAAAGATGACAAGGAACGTGAAGCTAAACGAGAAAGGGTAAGGCAGTGGAGAAACGCTCTTACAGAAGCTGCAGATTTGTCTGGTCACCATTTTCAAATCACTGGCACTGGGTAATCATTCAGCTGCTTTTCATGATTTAAGTTGTATTACTCTAATTAACATGATTAATTAATTTATACACCTTAATGTCTCATAAAAAACCTAAACCGTAATTGGAGTTTAATTAATACACCTAACTTTTATATGTCAATGAATGACTTTGTTTCGTTTAGTCAGGTTCGATACAAAATCACATACTAGGTTGTTAGTATATAACTATATATATGAAGGAAAGAAGGAAATGAAATTGTTTATGTACTGATAGCTCCTACTGAGCCTTCATTGAGTCTCACTAATGCTTACGAATTCAATTTTCAGGCACGAAGCAAAGCTTATTAGAGAAATTGTTGATAAGATTATTACGAATTGGCTTCCGAGCACGGAAAAATTACATGTGGCCAAACACCAAGTTGGAATCAATTCTCGCATGTCAAAACTTTGGAAGTACGACATGTTCTTGAGCTTTAGCGGTGTAGACACGCGCAATGGCTTCGCAGGCCTCCTCCACACGGCATTAACAGACAGAGGATACCGGGCTTTTATCGATGAGGACGATTTAAATACAGGGGAAGAAATAGGAAATGCACTGTTCCGGGTAATCGAAGATTCGAGGATCTTTGTTGTTGTCTTCTCAAAGAGTTATGCGGATTCGAGTTGGTGTCTTGACGAGCTGGTGAAGATCATGGAGTGCAGATCCAATCTGGGGGGACATGTTTTGCCAATATTCTATTATGTTGATCCTTCCGATGTCAGGAATCAAAAGGGAGATTTAGCCCAAGCATTTCAGAAGCACGAAGAGGTCATCCTTGAAGAAAAAGATGACAAGAAACGTGAAGCTAAACGAGAAAGGGTAAGGCAGTGGAGAAACGCTCTTACAGAAGCTGCAAATTTATCTGGTCACCATTTTCAAATCACTGACACTGGGTAATCATTCAGCTGCTCTTCATGATTTAAGTTGTATTACTCTAATTAACATGATTAATTAATTTATACACCTTAATCTCTGATAAAAAACCTAAACCGTAATTGGAGTTTATTTAATACACCTAACTTTTATATGTCAATGAATGACTTTGTTTCTTTTAGTCAGGTTTGTCACAAAATCACATACTAGCTTGTTAGTATACAACTACATATATGAAGGAAAGATGGAAATGAAATTGTTTATGTACTGATAACTCCTACTGAGCCTTCATTGAGTCTCACTAATGCTTACAAATTCAATTTTCAGGCGTGAAGCAATGCTTATTAGAGAAATTGTTGACAATATTATTACGAATTGGCTTCTGAGCACAGAAAAATTACATGTGGCCAAACACCAAGTTGGAATCAATTCTCAGATTCAAGATATTATCACTTATCTTTCAAGTGGTGGATTAGATGATGTTGTCATGGTTGGAATTTGGGGAAAGGGTGGATTGGGTAAAACAACAGTTGCCAAAGCCATTTATAACGAAATTCATCCTATGTTCCAATTCAAAAGTTTCCTTGCCGATATTAGGGACAATACAAGTAAACATGGTCTGGTTTATTTGCAAAAAACACTAGTTTCTAACATCTTGAAACAGAATTCTCATGTAAGCAGTGTTGCTGAAGGTACCAGTCTGATAAAACAAGGATTTCGACATAGAAAGGTACTTGTCATCATGGACGACATAGATGAAGTGGAACAACTGAATGCAATAGCTGGAAATCGCGATTGGTTTGGTCCAGGAAGTAGAATTATCATAACGACAAGATATAAACATTTACTAAAGAATGTGGACAAGACATATCTGCTTCAGGAAATGAATGAAGATGAAGCTCTGGAGCTTTTTAGCTGGCATGCCTTTGGAAATAGTAGGCCTCCTGAAGGATATCTTGAACTCTCAAGAAAGGTGGTTTCTTACTGTGGAGGTTTGCCACTAACCCTTACAGTTTTAGGTTCTTTCTTGTTTAAAAGAGCCATAGCAGAGTGGAAAAATGAATTGGAGAAATTAGAAAGATCTCCAGGTGAAGAAATAAAAAAACAATTCAGATTAAGCATCGAAGGGCTAGATGATACACAGAAGGCTATATTTCTTGACATATCTTGTTTCTTTATTGGATGGGACAAGGACTATGTCACAAAAGTATTAGATGGATGTGGATTTTTTGCAACAACAGGAATCAGGGTCCTCCGTGAACGAGGTCTTGTAACCGTTGAACACAACGAGTTGAATATGCATGATTTGGTTCAAGAAATGGCCAGAGTAATCATTTCTGAAAAATTCCCGGGTTACCCTGGAAAATGGAGTAGGTTGTGGAATCCTCAAGAGATCACCGATGTATTAACAAATAAATCTGTAAGTACATTCCCAATTAAATTTTGGATTAATTCATCATAGAAAATCATACATGTAACCCACATATCTCTATTATACATTTAACAACATTCATGTGTAAATATATGCGGTTGCACAAGGAGGGCTCAATTAGCCAACAATAGTACCTGCATATATATATATATATATTTATATTCACCATACGTGATTTTGCCTAATGAATAATAATACATTTAAACAGGGAACTGGAGAAGTTGAAGGACTTGCTCTGGATTTCTCTGATCATTGGTTTCAAACCTGTGACATGCCTAGTTTCAGTACAGAAGCATTTGCCAGTATGAAGAAACTGAGATTGCTTCACCTCAGATACGTTCAGTTCACTGGAGAATACAAACATCTTCCCAAAGAGTTAATATGGTTGTGCTGGCGTGGATTCCTTTTGCAGTCCATACCAGATGACTTTTTTAATCAACCGAAGCTAGTTGTTTTAGACATGCAGTCAAGCAATCTTGTACAAGTTTGGGAGGGCTCCAAGGTACAATCAATTACAAATGATGATGTTCTGTTTCTACTATTCTTTTATGGATTTCCTTTATTATTATTATTTTTAAATTTTTTTATGAGATCTTCCTTTTGGATATTAATTTCAATTTCCTTTCGTTTTCTGCAACAGTCGCTTCAAAAGTTGAAAATCATTAATCTCAGTCATTCCCTTGACTTGGAAGAATCACCAGACTTTTCACAAGTCCCAAATCTTGAAGAGTTGATAATGGAAGGCTGTGAGAGTTTGTCTGAGATTCACCCCTCCATTGGTCATCTTAAAAGACTCTCTTTGGTAAACCTTAGAAACTGTTGCAGTCTTAGTTCTCTTCCGAGGGATTTCTTTAAGTCCAAATCTGTTGAGATTCTTTGTCTTAATGGATGTTCAAAATTGAGAGAACTGCATGAGGATTTAGGGGAGATGGTATCATTGAGAATACTTGAAGCAGAGAATACATCCATAAAACAAGTACCAGCTTCCATAGCGAGGTTGAAGAAACTCACTCGTTTCTCTCTAAGGTCTGGCTAGAGAACACCCTTCCACTTGGGGATGAGCAACCAGGGATGTGAGATCACATGCTTTTATACTGAGACTAATTTTTGAAAAGTTGATTGGTTAACTAATCTGTTGTATAAGGGTTGCTAAAATACTTTTTACAATAAGCAGTTCATTCCCCTCTTAGACACCTACTTTCTTTTCTTTTTTATTATTGTAAATAGGGTTGTAAATAGATTTTCACGTGTATGTAAATGGTATTGTCTATCACATATATTTAAAACTTTCTACATGTTTTTATACGATTTTATAACATGCATCAGCACCCGGGCACCCTCGCTAGTTCAATTCAAAAACCAAGAAACACTAACTATTACAAAGTAAAAAAATGTTGAACATTTATAATAAATAAATAACTAAATAAGTTAACTAAATGCATTTCTTGTGTGATCGTTGATATAGAAAAAAATTAGCAGAAGTTTGCTTTTCCTTGATTGAAATGATTCTAGTTTTATTGTGCCACCTTACACCTGCCCCATCTTCAACTATATATGCACCACTAGAAATAATCAGTGAACAAATCCAAGTGTAAAAACATCGGCCTCCTCTTGACCCCTTCCCCGCAACTACGTGACATAAAACTAAACTTAATACAACATTAGTAGTGGTTAAACTGTACGTGGAACGGATGTGAACCTTGCCAAATTAATAAGAGGCATTCTAATTAATTGTGATTAAAAGTCATGTGTCAGCTCCAGAACCTTTTTGAATATTTTTTACTCCACAAATATATCTCTCCAATATTTCATACAAAATATCTAAAAGAAGCCTCTCCCCTTAATCCATCCTGCAGTAAACTTGCCAAAGCACAAATTACTAACAAGTGATGAGTGTTAAAAGAATATAGATTACAATTGATGAAAAAAATCTTAAGATATTAATCACAACTACTTAATTACTACTTACTTCTAAACTTTAAAACATAGTTAACCACTTGCTAAGGAATCCAACTGTCTAATAAGATTACTTATTACCTTAGTTAATTAGATCCAATAAGGTTTAGGGTCGTTACTTACATATATAATCATATCATATTTTATACGTATTGATAGTTGAATTAGGTGAATAGTTGTAATCACAGCCAAGAAGTCAAGTTATAATCTATTGCATAGTCTTTGTCCTTTCGTGTTCATTTCTTTTCTCTTCTTCCCAACAAACGCTATCGTTTCTCAAGTCCATACACCAACATTATTATATTATAAACTTTTGTTTTTGTTGACTGAAGGAGCTTGACTTGCTGCAGCGCAACCACTACCAATATTCAATCGGTTTGTGATAATAACTTGGTATAACAAAAAATTGTATATACAAAGTCCTTAACAACAAGGCACAAAAAAGAACTTAACATAGATTTAACATATCTATGGCAAAGTCCTTTGATTAAAAAACTCAATTTACTTATGGTGCAAGTTCACAATCTAACAATAACATTTTACAATCTTTCTGTTGATCTAAACCAACAGTGGTATGCTTGACACTAACAACTAACTCGTTTAAAAGAGGCAAATGTCTACTCAAGGCCTCCAAAAGCATATTTAAAATGACAAAGAGTTCCAACACTCTCATAGAGAATTGTGGCATCAAACAATTTCTTTGTCTCCTGATCATTCATCTACTTGCTGAGGCCACATTCATCCGGACACACACCTGACTCTCTTGGCCTGAGCAAAGACTCACAAATCCACTCCAATTAATTTATTACAAAATCTAGGAAAATTAATTTTTATTTTTTTATTTTTTTTGGAGAACCTCGGCGGTACGAGGGAAATTTATTGATAAGAAAAAAGAAGATACACCTAGACAGGGGGGACATAAACCTAACCCCTCATAGAACAAGAGAAAAGAAATACAAAAAAGGGGGGGACATGCACCTTACCCCTTTTGAGAAAGGAAATACAAAAGAGGGGGGGACATAGACCGTACCCCTCTTGGAAAAGAAAATACAAGGAAAAGACTGGGCGGACATAAGCCCAAACCCCTCTAAAAACCTAAAAGGTAATAACCTGCAAGACAAGCTGCAAAACAAAAGGGAATCCAAAAAGGTTAGGAAAAGAAAGGAGAACACACATCAAGAAGAGGAGACAAACCTGTAGGTTGGCATGCCCAAGAAATCTGAGTGCAGAGGAGGAAGGATCTCTATAGGGGGAGCGGAATGCCAAACAAGTGAAGATGATAGAAGCCCTAAATTGGCTAATTTGTCAGCAACAACATTCCCTTCTCAAAAAATATGAGAGCAACGAAAAACCATGTTCTGCAAATGGAGAGTACAATTGTTCCAGCGTGTCTGGAGTGACCAAGGGGGAGAGAAAGATCCAGAAGCAAAACATGATATTACACTAGAAGAGTCGCTTTCAAGCCATAAATTTTGCCAGCCCCGCGCGTGGGCCAATTCGACAGCAAGGATGACAGCATGGAGCTCCGCATAGAAAGAAGTACGATGGCCCAAGCTTAGGGAGAAACCACCAGGAAAATTAATTTATTGAACTCAAGTAATCTATTACACTCAACTAATGCCCCATTTGACTCAATCATCTTCAAAAACTCACAAATCCACTCTATTTGGAATTACTCCAAAATTCCTTCATTTCATCGTTTTTTTGCTCAAAGTAGATCCACATGTCCTACAGTTGAAATATAGAGTAAAGTATCTAAATTTTCTCAAAATAACCAATATATTATAACTAAAATTAAGGCAAAAATATATAATAATATCGACTCATCATCACCCTCTTAAATAATTGCTTTTAATTATCCTTTTATATTTGGGTCTTTTCTCTAATCACTTTTGCTTATTATGTGGTTGTTGCCATGCTACTTCTCAAATGCTTCCAAATTCCAACATAAAATAACGCATTTTGCAATAGTTTTTAGCAGTGGAGCCTAAAAGTGGTCCACTTACGTGTATTATAATAGAACACCACTTAATGGTTAATATAACGATTCAATAAATTGTTGTCTTAAGTTAGAAGTAGATGACTTAATCATTTGTCGCCTATCTTGAATAATTGTTTTTAATTATCTTCCACATTTGGATTTTTTTTCTAATCACTTTTGTTTATGTGGTTGTTGCCACGTTACGTCCCAAATACTTCAAAATTTTAACATAAAACAATGCTAAGCATAAAATAATGCATTATTGATAGTCCCTTCTGCCTGGCTATATGTCGTTTCTCAAGTCCATATACGAACATTATTATATTATAAACTTTTGTTTTTGTTGACCGAAGGATCTTGATCTGAACAGAAACACAATCACAACCACTGCACTGCTAAATAGTGAATACAATGACCGCCCACGAAGCCTCATCTTCATCCTCCTCCAAGTCAAAACTTTGGAATTACGTGTTCTTGAGCTTCAGCGGTGTAGACACACACAATGGTTTCACGGGCCACCTCCACGCGGCTTTAAATGACGGGATACCAGGCTTATATTGAAAGGAATTATTATGTGGTTGTTGCCATGCTACTTCTCATATGCTTCCAAATTTCAACCTAAAATAATACATTATTGATAGTTGAATAGCTTAGTCACATCCAAACAGTCATTGTTATAATCTTATGGATAGTCTTTACCTTTTAGTGTTCGTTTCTTTCCACTTTTCCTCTCTTTGTCTCTCTCTCTTCCACTGCACCTTCCCGGGCCGCAGTGAAGGAATTCAACTTTAAATAGTCTATTTCGTTCACCATTATCCTAACAACTCTCTCCTAATTTTGATCCGAATTGAAAGTGAAAGCAAGTAGACAAAATAAAATGTTTGGTTAGTACTATAAACTAGAGGTTTATTTTAATTTAGCAGATTGATTCCTAAGTATTCGAATAGACAGCGGTACTTTGAGGTTTAAACTTATTTTCATTCTTAAACCATACATATATTTTGTTTTCTCATTTTTATTAAAACTGTCACTTATTTACGTTGACAACTTCCATTTCTTCCAATTTGTAATAGAGCAATGAAAACAACTACACAAGAAGAAAAAAGAGAAAGAAGGAAGTTTTGAAATGCAATAAAAGAAGGAAGTCTTGCTATTTTACAGCATTTATGGGGATGAACAACTAGGATGTGAGATCATGCTTTTGTACTGAGACCAACTTTTGAAAAGTTTATTGGTTAACTAATTTGTTGTATAAAGGTTGCTAAAATACTTTTTACAATAAGCAGTTCATTCCCCCTTATCAATAGTATTGTCCATCGTCACTTATGGTGCGTTTATGTAACCGTAATCAAAATAGATGAATTTGATTGAGGAGGAATTAAATTGAGGAGGAATTGGATTGAGGAGAAATCAGAATTGGATTCCTGTTGAATCTGTTTACTAAAAATATCAGGAATCGGAGTATAAATGTTGTTGAATTACATAAACTGTTTACTAACTCACATAAATTGGAATGAAAGCTAATGTCATTACTAAAATGCCCCTAGGCTAATTGATGCGTGTTTAATTTTGCTATTTTATTTTTTCAATGTATTTGATTGTTTTCCTTATAAAAACCAAATAGGATAAATAACAAAAACGTAAAAAACAAATAGGAGAGGAACTATCAACTTTACACGGGACACACAAAAGAAGTACTTTGATCCTATTAGACGGGGGAGGGTGAAGAAGCTAGGACAGAAGGGTAGAGTTCAAGAGAGCAAAATGCGTTTAGGAACGTGGAATATAGGAACCTTAACGGGAAAATCTATGGAAGTAGTGGAAGTTATGGTGAGGAGAAGGATAAATATTATGTGTCTACAAGAAACTAAGTGGGTTGGTAGTAAGGCAAAGGATCTAGAAAACTCAGGGTTTAAACTTTGGTATTCGGGCACAAATAGAACGAGAAACGGTGTTGGCATCATCGTGGACAAGACCTTGACACAAGATGTTGTAGATGTCAAGAGGGTAGGAGATAGAATCATGGCAATCAAGATTGTAATAGGACAAGAACTTATCAATGTGATTAGTGCGTACGCACCTCAAGTAGGGTTGGATACGAGTTCGAAGGAGAAATTTTGGGAAGACCTTGGAGACTTGGTGCAAGGAACTTGCTCAGACGGAGAAGTTATTTATAGGAGGAGATTTAAATGGACACGTGGGCAGGGAGACAGGCAACTATGGAGGTTTTCATGGTGGCCATGGTTTTGGGGAGAGAAACGAGGATGGGGAAGCTATCTTTGGATTTTGCAATGGCATATGATCTCTTCTTAGCCAACACCTTCTTTAAGAAGAGAGAAGAACATGTGATCACCTACAAGAGTGGTCGTCA